GCTTCATGCAATCTTTAACTATGTCTGTTGAATGTATTAATGAATGGGTAAACGACGCACATAGTCGGTAAGAAAAATATAGAGCAAAACAAACACAAATGAAAAATACAGCAGCTGGTGCATCAGTCTACCTCTGCTTAGTTCATCTGCAAATATTTGAAAGGCTCGGCATGGATTTAAATTCACTTCTCCTGGAACAACTTTCCTGATCACAAATAACCCCACAGCATGACGCTACCACCGACGTGCTTTTGGATAATGTGCAGTTTTAACAGGAGGGAATATTAAATAATTTAGTGATTTCTGTAGGTTAAGCTGGATATATCTGAGTAAAATGGGTAAACACCAATGCTGAACATATTCTTTACATTTTTATTTTTAGAAAATCTTTAACTTTAAAATTGTTCTTCTACTTTCCAGTCTTACAGGTCTTAGCTTTGGTCAAGTTTATCAAATCCCAATAAAATGCAGCAAAGTTTGCGGTTGTGGAAGCAATAATAATACTTTAGCCGATCACTGTTTTCTAAGTAAGCTCAATCTCTACATTAATCACCTTATTAAGATTGGATATTTATTAGGGCTGCAACTAACGAGTAGTTGCAAATCAATTAATCTTTTGATAATTAATTTTTTTTGATTAATCGATTGATAAATGGATAGCCAGAAGTTCCTTAAAGAAGACTTTTTATGAAATTAAACCGTGTGAAATTAAACTTTTTCACTTCAGGAGTTCTGGATAAATAAATGCAAAATATCTATATATTGTTTTCACAATTTTGATATAATTACTGCTCTAATTGGTTTTTATGTCAGCTAAAGGCATGCTTTACAATCTCTATTTACTATACAGTTAATGATTAACTGATTACAAAATTAGTTGACAATTTTTTTCAATAAACGATTAATCATGATTAACTGTTTGAGCCCTAATATTTAATATTAAATGCAAGAAAACCTGGAATTTTAAACAGTGTTTCAAATTTGGTTCAGGTAAACAGATCCAGGTTCAGGGACAGCAAAATGCGGGGGAAGAGATATGTACAAAAGAAACTTTTTTTTTTTTTTTTTTGTGAAGTTAATCTCAGAAGAATATTTTAAATCATTAATCATTTAAATCATTAATTAAATACACTGTTCATTTTCACTGCCAAGCTGCTGCTCACTCCATGTCAGATAGCTGTATGTAAAGAAATTTCGTTTTGTATACACTCTATACAAAAGGACAATAAAGTTTGCCTAAGTCTAAGACACTGGACAAACTGATGTCTATCCGCTTGCATAAGTTTGTTGGGTTTTCGAACTAAGATAAAATATTACTTTAATGATTAAACGTTTAATTTGAAACACTAAAAACAGCGACCATCCCAGATGCCGTACATTATGTTTGTGCTTCAACCGTCTGAAGTTTTATGAGGGAGAACAGAGATAGGACCTGGTTTGAAAGCCTGATACGACACGTCGCTGTTCAAACAAATCCCGACTAGATACCAGTTTCGACAGTAAATCAGTGACAACTGCCACTGCCTCAGACATACAGCTGGCCAACCTGTTTATGTTTATTACTATGTAGTAAATGGATCAGGCTACTGCCTTTTTTTGGCCCGTCTCATTTCTAATAGAGAAATTTACGAGATTTCCCAAAATGAATGTCTCTCACTCTCACTGGGATGTAAACAAAAGACAGCTTCTTGTTAAATGTTTTAAATTTAACTCCAAATAATTTAATTTTTTAAGACATAATCTGAATTAGTTTAGGTCACTGAGTCTCAGTAACTTTAGTTATTTTTGTCAGACGGAACACTTGTTTTAATTAGCTGGGTTAGGCTAAGATGTTAATGTAGTTTTTTTAATCGTATTTGTATTATAATCATTGCCATCTATTGCGATGTTCTGGTTGCATTTGTTTATCCTGCATTGCACCTTTTTTGAAGGGATCTTTGGATTAATCCTGATTAATTGGTTAGTAAGATGACCGTCAACAAATTTGATAAAAAAATTGAATCCTTACCTAAAGTAATAGCGCATAGGCAGATAAAAAATGCCATTTGGAGACACAATAATCTACTAACTACTAGTAATTAGGGCTCAATTTTACAAAAAATAGAAACATTTTCCACTTCCAGATTAAAAATATTCATTTTTTAAATAAATGTATTTCTTAATAGAATTCCTTTAAAATGTGCAAAAAAAATATCTATTCCAAATTTTTGTTAATATGCTAAAATATCTCTTTTAGATGATCAAATTAATCAAAATAAAACAAATATATTAATTGTTTACTAAAATATTCGACGGAGCCCGGTCAATGTTATTATATAAATAAAATAGCATATTAACATTTTTCCTCTTCCTTTCATTCTTCATTTAATTAGCCAAATGCTAATCAGTTAGCGGCTAATTTAATAGAAGATCTCCACTTTTTTTAGGTACTATATTTTTGTAAAATGTGCAGTCCAAAGAATGAAACCCAGAAATTGGGATGACCTTCTTAAAAAACCTATTTGGAAGATGCCTGATTTGATCACCTTTCCAATAACCGTGGTTTTCTTTTAATTTGAAATAAATGCAGCACATAAATCACAAAGTGTCTCAAATTTCATAATGAATGTGTGCAAAACTAGCCTCTTTAATACTGTACAACTTCCTCTGTTTTGGCTATATATATATATATATATATATATATATATATATATATATATATATATATATATATATATATATATATATATATATATATATATATATATAATATGAGTATCACAGAAAAACTTTTTTCCTCTGTTAGTTGTCATTTTGATAATACATACAGCACATATACACTCATTTTGTATATATTTTTGTTAATAAATATTTTTCCTACGTTCCTAGATACAAAAGTAGACTTTGTATTTAATAAAATCAGGTGAATTCTCAGTCGTCCAGGTCATGGCAACAAGGAAATAGGTTATTTTGGAGGCAGACAGACTGTTTTTTATTTAGTTTTATTTTGTTTTAATTTTATTTTGTTTTGTTTGATCACACATTCATAATCACATAATGATGCCTTTTGTCTAATAGCTGAAGGAGGCAACTCTCAAGCGATAAACGACAACTGCAGCGATGATATTGATTAGAAAAATAGCTGCTGCTATCATTCTCCGGTTGTTAAACTTACAGTGTCGCTGAATAATTGCCAAAATGGCGAGAATGAATGTTTTCTTTAAACAGCACTGACCTGAAGTCGAATACTCAACACTTATTGTAGTGTATTGTAGGGGAGTGTTGGCCTAGTGGGTTAGAGCAGTGCACTTGTGCTCTGAGAAAGTTGCAATTACCCGCTACCTCCACTCTGGGTTCCTGAGCCGCACCCTTAACTCCCCGATTGCTCCCCAGGCGCTGCACAGTGGCAGCCCACTGCCCCCTAAGGGGATGGGTTAAATGCGGAGGTAAATTTCTCCAATGTGAGATCAATAAAGTTCAATTATTATAAAATGACTTGAAACGGAAAATCTTACAAAGGTTGCAAAGTTTTCTCACATTCCAAAGACAAACCTGGATGTATTTTGTTGGGATATTATGGGTTAGATGGACATAGATTCGTACATATTGGTCAAGAGAAAACGTTTTTTTAGATGGTTTGCAGAATTTGGTGCCCCCCTGTGCTCTAATACACCTAAATAAAATCCAGCGCTACTAATTGGCTTGAGTGGTCCAGCATTTAGTAAAGGCCCTAATAATGTGATGCAAACAAGCAAAAGATCAGTCACCATGGTAGTCATATATAAATCCTGTATTTAGCAGTCCTGAAAAAAATAAAACAAAAACTCTCCAGAAACAAAATTACCCTAAACATAAGGTTTTATAATGGCCTAGTCAAAGTACAGGCCTAAAACCAATTGAGAATTAAAGTCCAAAGATGCTCTCAGATTCAATCAGACCATTTCTCAGCGGAATATGTTTCTAAACAAGCAAAGCCGTTTGGAATAGACCCACCAACCAAAACACCTGCTTGTATTTTTCCATCCACACCTTTTCGTAGCATCGTACTTCATTTGATCTCTAAATATTCCACCTTGTTTTCCTCTGTCTTATTATTTATTTAAAAAGAAAGGAGAACTGGTTTCCCTACTATTCCAGAACAACATCTTGCTCCTCTCTTCCACACCATCTGTGCAACCTGATACGGTAAGACAATGTAAACAGCAGCGCCCAGCTCAGGTGTACATCCTGTTACAGGTGTAGTCCTGAGCCCACAGAAAGAACACAGAGCGGATCATTTGCATTCACTTTAAATACTTTGTTTTCAGTACTGAAGGAAACAAAAAAAAAAAAAAAAAAAATGGGGGGAGCTCAGGAAGGTCACAACACAGCTTTATCACATAAAGGCACCAAGTGATGCATTACACCACTGCAGTGCATCATTTTGTTCTGGTCAAGGGTTCAGCTTCATGTTAGAGGAGCAAACATAAGCCAAGGCCAGCCATGTGTGCAGCACCTCCTCCTCTTCCCCACCTCCTCCTATCAGGAGGATCCTAACAACAGCCCTGCATTTACTCATTAACCTCACCTCTACAGCAGCTCTCTGTTATGGAAATTTTTTTTATGATCCTGACTCCCAATGGAGGGAGGGGAACACCTAAACGCATTCTACCTGTTGAAATGATTTAAAAATATATCTTAATGAGGAAATAAATGGTAAATACAAAAAATAGGTGATGCACTATGTTCATGATGTGCAACAGGTGTGCACACCAAGGTCTAATGTAACTAATAATAAGTTTGTTTCCTGTATCAGTTTAAAGCTTTTTAGCAGTATAATGTTTTATTTTAACATTTATTGAGAGGTGATGTTTTATTCCATATGTCAAACATATATCACCTGTTCACGCATTGTTAATTAACGTTTAATAGCCGCACTTTCCCCCCTATTTCTGACTTTAACTGCAATTTAAAGACCCTTGATACGAGTTTTATACTTAAATAAATGCAAAATAAATAAAAGACAAATGATTTGAGCCTACCTGTCGTCTTAGATGAAGGTGTGGCACTTTAATTTGTATCAGAAACACACGGATGTCATTTAACGTCTCCCTCTCTCTTCCGGTCCTGTAGTGGAAAAAAAGTATCAAAAAACAGGTGGAGGGGGAAAAAAGATGAAGGTTTCCTTTTTCAGGACGGTTAGAGTTGCTGCGTTTGGCCGTTGAGAAGAGTTTCCTCCTCTCGGTGACTCCGCAGTCCCATGTCTCTTTGTGTAGACTCGGTCGGCTGATGGGTTGGTTAGTTAGTTAGTCCGGAGAACTAGTGGAGCTGCGTGAAGCTGACTGTGGCGGGAACAGGCTGGCTTCCGGTTGGTCATTTCAAAATAAAAGAAGAGGAAGGGCTTTTCATAATCCTGTTGAAGAAAAAACACATAAGAATTATACGGAAGTGGATTAGGGCCACTGAAATAATTAAAAAAGTTAACTGATTGTTAAATTTTATTTCAGTTTAATATGGGGAAAAGGTCAGAATTCTAAGATTAAAGCTTAATTCTGAGAAAAAAGTCAGAATTCTTAGATTAAAGTCAGAATTCTGAGATTAAAGCCAGATTTCTGAGATTAAAGTCAGAATTCTGAGAAATAAAGTCTGAATTCTAAGATTAAAGTCAGAATTCTGAGAATAAGTCAGAATTTTGAGAAAAACGTCAGAATTCTCAGAGAAAGCCAGAATTCTTAGTTTAAAGTTAGAATATCCCATATTCTCATCTTAAACTGAAATAAAATTATTTTTTGTGTGTGATTTCCTATGTATTTGAACCTAAAAAACACATTACAATACAATTTATTTTTAATTTAAATTTCATTGCTTGTCCACTGTGGAGGACAACAGGACAATTTCCATGGGAAAATAGAACAGGCTTAAGAAAAATAAAAGATTATGTCTTGAAAGTGATATTTACATAACAACTTTGACATTTGATAAAAAACAAATACATTTCTTTAACATTCTTCTTTTGTTTGTTGCCTGCAACAGCAAAAATAGATCTATTTAATTTAAAAGTAGTAGGCTTTTATCAGCCAGATTTTCAGCTAAAGAACTCTCTAGCCTCTTCTGGTATAACGAATGGTCAATTGTAAAAATGGGACCTCTAAAACCTCTAAAAAGGAAATTACAGTTCACGTTTTAGGTTTAAAAAAAAAAAAAAATTCAGTTAGTAATTTAGGCCTACAGCTTTTTAATTTCCAATACCAATATTGCACCGTCCGATACCAATATTGCATACCAATACAACATCAGTATGAATCATACCTGCTTTTAATAATTATTTTGATGTGTGAAGTGTTTGAAAAAGCTTTGATCAAGGTTTGCTTTTATTTAAACAGAGAACTCACCCATTTATTACCAACCAAAAAGTAACATAAGCATTGTGTTTTTATCAGGATGCAATATCTGAGATTTTATGTGCAGGGTGATGTAAACCTATATAAGTTTTTTCCTGATATTAGACCGATATCCGATAATTTGTAAAAATACTTTGATATTTGATATCTTGAAACATACACAAACTGTCTAAATCATGTATTTATCCTTTTACTATAATGAATGGTGCTTTCATGTCTTATCTATTTATTTTACCATCAGAACATTTTGAGAAAATGCTAATGTATTTTTAAACGCTCCTTTGGAGCAAATCAAGTATTTTGGTGTCTTGTTTTACCTGCAAAGGAAAGTTTGAACAGGAGATGTTTAGAAGGACTAGAACCAGTGAGATTTTAATTAAGGGACGATACAACTTTTTCATTTCCAATAGGACACAGATTTTGCAGCTTTGAGAATTGGCTAATACCGATATTGATCAGATACGATCTTAGCAAAAATCACACCACTTTTTATTACTCACTTTAAACTGTAGAATGTTAGAAAAATACTTGACCAAGTAATATTACTAAAATGGGGAACGAAAGTCAAATTCAAAAGGTATGAAACAACTGGCCCATGTAGAAATTACCAATCAGTTAAAGAAACTTTTAACAAAAGCAGAGCGTTTCTATACGCATGAAAATATCAGATGCCAGCAGATAAAATCCAATATTAGCTCTTTGGTTAATATCGGACCAATGTCCGTTATTAATATTGAATCTGGACATCCCTGTCTTACGAAGAAGAAGCTATTCTGAAGAGCAAAGCTGTTGATCTATATTCTGAACCGTATTTATGGTTGTAATGCCTGGATCATGCCAAAAAGACAAAAATATCCTGGGAGCTGAACAAGCAATCAAGAGAAGATTTCCCACTAGTATATTTTGAATTAGGGTTGTTAAGATCCAATTGAGCTTATCCCAATTGGAAGAACCCCTGACAAAGAAGTCTGGGGAGAGACAACATGTTACTTCTCTAAACAGTTGGAGAGTATTTTTTGGATGTGTTAACAACAGCTTGATTAGATACAAAAAGGAGTCAACAGATAAAGGTTGCAAAAATAAAATCATGTAGGCTAATTCTTCTTTTTTTTTTTTTACTTGGAGCAAGACTCATAGTTTGATGATGTTTAACATTAACTGAAAGCACTTGTAAATATCAACCCTCAATTCAATTTTTTAGATTGAGGGTTGATGTTTCAGTGTAAATGCACTCCGATCACTTTCATACCTCTAACCTCCGTCTCCATCTGGCTCAGTCCTGGCGTACTCCAACTGCACTTCCTGTTTGACCTCCTAACCCATGTTCAGCTTGACTCAGCTTAACCTGAGCCTACTTTTTTCCGTCCACACAGTAGATCATATGACTGGGATGTGATTAAAATGGGGAAATAACTCTTTACTACTTGCCCACCACCTATTGTTATTTTTCTTAAGTGATTTTTAAGGCCATTGAATCTAATTATATTAATCTACCTCCACTATTTTTATGTCTTTAAACATCAACCAAAAGGAACTTTTTCAACGCCTTTGCAATTGAATTAAAGCATTTTTTTATTACATGTATATATTGCAGTATTACTATAGAGCTATGTATAGCTATAGTTATAAAACTATAGAAGTACAAATAGTCTGATGTTCTGTAACTTTACCAAATTGCATATTTGTGAATACAGATTTCTTTTCAGTACTTATCTGACTATGTAGTACAAAAATAATCCCAGTTATGCTATACTTTATTTAAAAACAGCTATGAATGTAATTCAATCTGTAAATAATAAGTACGATGAGGGCTGTAGTCAATAATAGCATTTGTTAGAATAAATTGGAAAACAATGTATTATTTTGTTGGCAAACTTCAAATAACTTTTTTTCAATGAACACCAGCGGATCAGTCGACTTACTAACGATTTTGATTAAAAGATTATTGTTGTTAGAGACTGAAGTTAGTCATTGTTTTCTTTAAAAAAAAGTTTAAATATATATATATATACAGGTGCTGGTAGTAAAATTAGAATATCATGAAAAAGTAGATTGATTTCAGTAATTCCATTTAAAAAGTGAAACTTGTATATTATATTCATACATTACATACAAACTCATATATTTCAGATGTTTATTTTGTTTAATTTTGATGATTACAAATGACAACAAATGAAAATCTCAAATTCATCATATCAGAAAATTAGAATATTACTGAAGACCAATAAAAACAAAGGATTTATAGAAATGTTGGCCAACTGAAAAGTATGAACATGAAAAGTATGAGCATGTACAGCACTCAGTATTTAGTTGGGCCTCCTTTGGCCTGTATTACCGCAGCAATGCGGCGTGGCATGGAGTCGATCAGTCTGTGGCACTGCTCAGGTGTTATGATAGCCCAGGTTGCTCTAATAGTGGCTTTTAGCTCTTCTGAATTGTTGGGTCTGGTGTATTGCATCTTCTTCTTCACAATACCCCATAGATTTTCTATGGGGTTAAGGTCAGGAGAGTTTGCTGGCCAATTAAGAACAGGGATACCATGGTCCTTCAACCAGGTACTGGTAGCTTTGGCACTGTGTGCAGGTGCCAAGTCCTGTTGGAAAATGAAATCTGCATCTCCAAAAAGTTGGTCAGCTGCAGGAAGCATGAAGTGCTCTAAAACTTCCTGGTATGTGGCTGCGTTGACCCTGGACCTCAGAAAACACAATGGACCAACACCAGCAGATGACATGGCACCCCAAACCATCACTGACTGTGGAAACTTTACACTGGACTTCAAGCAACGTGGATGAAGTGCCTCTCTTCTTTTCCTCCAGACTCTGGGACCTTGATTTCCAAAGGAAATGCAAAATTTACTTTCATCAGAGAACATGACTTTGGACCACTCACCAGCAGTCCAGTCCTGTTTCTCTTTAGCCCAGGCAAGACGCTTCTGACGCTGTCTGTGGTTCAAGAGTGGCTTGACACAAGGAATGCGACAGCAGAAACCCATGTCTTTCATACGTCTGTGTGTGGTGGTTCTTGAAGCACTCACTCCAGCTGCAGTCCACTCTTTGTGAATCTCCCCCACATTTTTGAATGGGTTTTGTTTCACAATCCTCTCCAGGGTGCGGTTATCTCTCTTGCTTGTACACTTTTTTCGACCACATCTTTTCCTTCCCTTCGCCTCTCTATTAATGTGCTTGGACACTGAGCTCTGTGAACAGCCAGCCTCTTTAGCGATGACCTTTTGTGTCTTGCCCTCCTTGTGCAAGGTGTCGATGGTCGTCTTTTGGACAACTGTCAAGTCAGCAGTCTTCCCCATGATTGTGTAGCCTATAGAACTAGACTGAAAGACCATTTAAAGGCTTTTGCAGGTGGTTTGAGTTAATTAGCTGATTAGAGTGTGGCACCAGGGGCCATCAATTTTGAACCTTTTCACAATATTCTAATTTTCTGATATGATGAATTTGAGATTTTCATTTGTTGTCATTTGTAATCATCAAAATTAAACAAAATAAACATCTGAAATATATGAGTTTGTATGTAATGTATGAATATAATATACAAGTTTCACTTTCTAAATGGAATTACTGAAATCAATCTACTTTTTCATGATATTCTAATTTTATGACCAGCACCTGTATATATCAGTAAGTAACTATTCAATAAATATATACCATTAACATTACAAAGCCAACTAAAATAAATTCTGTGTCAAATGCGCAGAAGGGTGGATTAACCTGAGAGATGGACAGAAGACAGCTCACAGGACTCATTGCTCAGAAGTTTAGTTGCTTTTTAAAGAAATGAAACTATATCCATCAGATCTAATTGCAACTTTGAAGTACTAATAAATATATTTACAGTGCAGACATAAGGGTTGTTTTCTGTGAAGTGACGGACAAGCAGTTGATCTGAGCTTGACAGAGTTCTGAAAACTGGTTTGACTGTTTACACATGCACTATATGGGATCCTCCTCCTATAAACAGACCAGGGAATACATTTATGTTTGTTTTCAGTGGTGGATGACTCAGGTTTTCTTCCGATTCTCATTTAAAATACATCTAAAAACGTATTCCCTTCAACGGCGAATGTGAAGAAGATATTAAAGGGGATTTATTTTTTCTCACAGAACTTTGCTTAACTAAAAAAAATGAGAGAAAGGATTACTTTGGAAGAAGGAAATTAGGATGAATTGATATAGATGAATTGTAGGCTGGAAAGCAATGATAATATGGGTCAAACCTGTTTGTTATATATAAATAAATCTGGGAGCTAATATTAGCTTATGGTATTTGAAGAGACAGCTGACTAAAAGTCATCATACAGTTTTTGTTTGTTTCATTTAATGAGTGTACAATGTTGTTTCAATTTACAAGGTGAATAATTGCGGGGTCAAAAGAGGTTGGCTGCTATCTATGAAGGTAAACACTGGAAAAACAGGGTAAACAATGAACCCAGGTCCTGTGTATTCATACAGTATGAAGGCTAATTTTTAGAGACATCAAATATATAAAAGTGAGTTAAACTGGACCCGAAAGAAAGAAAATCCTGTTTAGTCAGACGCCACTTTTAATGAACCAGAAAGTGAAACAGATCTTCCAAAGGCAAGGAACTCTCCTCCCGGCGTGCTTCATAGGAATGAGGTCAATGCCCGCGGGTAGTTATCTTTCTTCTAGGTTTAGACTTGATGCAATGGGACGGCAGTGTAAGGAAAGATGAGATAACAGGGATGGAATCAGTCCAAGTTTGGTGCACTAAATCTTCTTACAGATAAAATATTGTCCAGGACAGCCTGAAAGCGAAGTAGATTATAGGAGCACTTCTTTAACACATAGCTCTAAAGTTAAAATGCCCTATCATGGTGGATAGATTTGTTGAGCCAGATATGGAAGGAGAAAGGTAAATACGGGTGACTCAGGCTTCCTCAAAACAGAAAATACAGGTTGCGAATGAGCACAATGGCTTCAAAAGCTTCTGGCTCAAGGAGTTAATGCCACTGACAAAAAAGGGGCTATTTTGAGCCTGGGTAAATAAAGTGACACTGTACAGAGTGTTTGACCTGTGTGTGACAAACAACTGGTGTAATTATACGGCCTTATGGCACTGCAGGTGGAATGTGCTTGCCACAGTGAACCTCCTGCAGCCCACGGCAGACATGAGCTCACCATCAATGCAGTGAGAGGCGTGGCCGAGCCTGGGACTGCAGCCAGCTCCAGGTAGTCAAGGCAACAGAGCCTATATATACATACACACGCCCAGGTTAAATGTATGCTAGTGTTGAGAGTGCCACCACTGGGAAATCAACGTGGCAGCCCCAAAGCAACAGGGTCTTATTGGCCAATAACAGCTTGAACGTTGGTATCTTTACTCTACGAACCTGCGGGCTTGACGTAGCTCACCACAAAGGTGCCTGGCTCATACATCAACTATTTGTCATGGTGTGTCAGCAGGTGTTGGAGGGCTGTACACCACTGTTTTCTGGCATTTGGTACCGAGCCCATATTACCGGCAATTACCAGCCGGTGGAATCATTTTACAGCTCTGGTCTGTCCTTCTAAATGCATTGCCAGGGTCAGTGATTTCCCATTCCCAGAATAAGCCTAATGATTTCCTTGCAAATTAACACATAGGGCAAACTTTTAAACCTTCACTCGTTTCTCCAAACTTTTCATTAAAGTAGTCAAAGACTTTTAACTCTTTTAAAGGAGTCTTGACTAAACTCCCTGTTTTCTTAAGTCCGGTGAAACTTTCAACCCAACTATGGCAATGTATACCATGCGGTGGGAGGATTGGAAGACCAAAAAAAAGAAAACTCTTAAGGCCAAGAAGCAACACATAAACAGTTTCTGGAAGTCTTAAAGCTATAGTAATAGGATGTTCAGACATAGGCTACGTTCACAGTGCAGGCCTTGATGCTCAATTTTTTTGTGAAATCTGATTTTTTTTTGCGTTGCCGTTCATATTTCCAACTATATGCGACTTGTATGTGATCTCCTGTGTGAACTGCAGTGCAGTCATACAACGCAAGTGTCCTGCATGCGCAGTAGGGGACGCAATGACGTCACAGGCCTGTGTGCTCTATGTTTATGGAAGTAAACATGGATGGTAGTGCCGGCTCGTATCTAGCGGTCTTATCCAACCATAAACCTCAATCTTCGTTCAGACGAAGGTCGCATTTGAAAAGATCAGATTCGTATCAGATTCAGGACCACATAGCCAAGTGGCCTGGGTCGCATTGGAAAAAATTGGATCTGTGTTGTTCAGACAGCCATGAAAAGATCAGATCCAGGTCGCATATGGGCAAAAAAATCTGATTTAGGTCACTTCAGGCCGCAGTGTGAATGTAGCCATAATTCCCCGCAAAAAAGAAATGGCCATTGTATTCATCTCCTGCATGCCAAATTGGCAGGTAATGCCTCATTGCAAATTTGTACTATTTTCTGTCTGTCATAAAGATTCAAAAGAGATGTAATTAGACTGACAATGTGGCACTTCACACTTGAGGTGAGGATGTGTTTTCTTGACTATTCGACCACATATACCTGGCCTTTCTATAAACGATATGGCGATATGATGGCACATTGTTGATGTTTTGTCATAACATGCACCATTTCATATGTACCTTGGGAACAGTCTGTACTGACCGAGTGTGATATTTGTACACACACTGGGAACACACTCATTGTTAACTTTATGGTCATTTGGGACTGTAATGCATCAGATACAATCGTAATAACAACAGAAGGAACATTACGCTGCAGCTTACGAAAACAAGGGTGATATAGTTGGTTGTGGGTATGAATTAGGTATGGCGAAATTTAAGCATGCAGCATTTTCTTTATTATTCAACATCTTTTATTAATCATTCTTTCTGTAAGGAAATTTGACTCCTTTCAGCTTAAGTCTTAATTCCTTTAACTTTATAGCTATTTTAATTTTTGGGGGGACTAAATCCAACATTTTCCAACTTGTCTTAAAATAATTGCGAATATTCAAGAGAAGCCACTCAATGAAAATCTAAAGAAACGTCCAATAATAGTAAAAGTAATTAAAAATGAGTGCACAAGCAAAAAAGTCCCCAAAAAAGCAAGCATGAACAACTGATCAAAAACACTTTTAAAGGCTGCGGGGACACTGGTTAATTAAAAGCTAACAATAGCTTTACATATTCTTGTTTGAAAGGAAAGAAAAACAGGGGATGCAACAACATGGAGGCAAAAAGTGAACCGTTTTATTACAGTAAAATGTTTCATACAAACAATGCATACACACTAGGTTCATATTGCTTCAGACATAAGTTTCTTTTTTGTTTTAATTCCAGTTAAACAACTCTGTAACAAAATGTAAGTACAACATTTATGAAAATATAAATCTCTAAACCAGTACATCAGTCCTGACAATATAAAGAATACCATAGAAACATTCATTACCAGTATGCCAACTATAAGTTGCAAACATGTAAGTTTTTAAAAGTCATTCAAGTTACATAACATAATACATAATAATACTGTTTACTGGCTTCCATATGGACACATTCAAATATACTCTTAAACTGGCATTCCGTTATATATATTTTTTTATAGGAGGACTGTTTTAACTTTTCAGCAAAGATAGCACATTTTATCAAAACAAAATCATAGTCGAACACTTCAACAGTTTGGTAACACTATAATTACAGTACAAGCCTTTAAAAAAACAAGTGAGACAGTCATGAAATTAAATAATCAATATTAAGAACTTTGGCAAGTACATAACTAAAACTCGTTCTGTTTTTATTCTTATAACTCTTGAGTTAGCAGGAAATTTTAAAGCTTGGTGCTGCTACCTTGATCGGAAAATTTACAAGGGCCGTTTTCTTACCATTCACAACTGGTGAACCTCTATATTAGAATGGTATAGCCCTTACAAAGACGTCAAAGTGAAACTGTGTGGCTTTTTCTTGAAATAGCGAATATTTGTTTAAAGTTAAAAACTGCTGAAAATAAAAGGTTGATTTACGGATACGTAAGCTTTAACAATACTGTTTAGATTGTCTGCAGATCTTTTTCCCGCCTGTATTAAGTCCATAATGTTTGCACTACATGCTCCTTACATGTGCTATTTTTCGACATACCGTTGAGCATATAAACAGCAGCGTGAATAAGACACATTTGTTCACGTTTCTCATCATAACAAAGCGTGCACTTTGTGATTTACTGGCTCTTTAGTACAATGTTGGACGCGGTTAGGCATGGGCCGGAGTTAGCCTTTGATGTACAGCAGATGATGTTTGTGATTACGAAGCTTATCACGCATAATAAGGCATTCCTTTTAACGAACGTTCTTCACTTTTCTATCTGATGTTAGTATAGATCATCTTCTGGAAACAGTCGATATGTCCAAACCATTCTCCTGCAACTTTACCCAACTGTAGACAATTGGCTTCAGTTTCAAGACTTTAACAGAGGTAAGAGAATGTGTGAGAATACAGTTCAGACAAATACATGATTGTAATGTAGGTAAAACAAAGACTTACTATTTGGGGGGAGGATTTCAGTAATCCCTGCATGATTTGCTAATGTACTATAGACTATTCATATGACAGTTGTTGGAAAAACACACCTTGATTCATAACCATGGGCATCAATGTTGGTCTAAACCAAAGCAACCTACTGCTTTCAGACAGTGTTTCTCCTTACTTCCCCCAATCTTAAGAGATAGCTCCAAATATGTTTTTACTTTATGTACTTAAAAAATAAAAAAGAATGGAGTTATTATTACAAATCATAATTGTTAGGTAACTTTCTGCTTCTTTCTTATCTGATTTGTGCACATTTTTCCTTCATGTTTTATACATACTGATTTGAAAAGAAAAAAAAACCCAGTTAAAATTGTCATTATGTTGAAAAGGAAAAAACGGTTGTACAGGCACATTTGAATATTGTGTAGAAGTGCAATATTTTTGAAGAGTGAAACTATGTATATAGTCATCACACATAAATCTAAATATTCCAAATCTTTTTTTCTTGTAATTTTGGTGATTGTACATAGTAATAAATACTAATAAATTCAGTGTCTCAAAAAGTTAGAATACTATGAAAAAGTAAATTATTGGAAACTCTTGGTGTGACACCCTAATCAGATGGCTGACACATGAAGGATGAAGACGATGGACCTCCATCTTATACAGCCGCTCTGTCAAAAAAGTATAATTACTGGTTTTGCTCGAGGTTTGGGTCGAGTCATTGCCGGTGTCATTGTGGCTCTAAATCCATCTGTCAGTCATCTTATATGTGGGAACAGGGGTTGACTTGTTTTTTTTCTGTTTTTTTTTTTTTTTTTTTTTTTTTTTTTACAGATAATTGAGTGAGTGGTAGAAAAAGGTACACTAGCAGCAGAGAGAATCTAAGACTTAAGAGAGTTTTTAAGAGAAATCCTTTAAAAGATTCAGAGGAGATTCAGAGTGGACTGATTCTGAGCAGGTGGTTTAAGAGCCAAAGTGCAGAACAATAAATCCTGCTTTCAGATCTAAGTAAGTACTGCAATTAATTTGGTAATAAAGCACCCAGAGTCTGGAGGAGGGGTTGCAAAGGCACAGAATCCACGTTGCTTAAAGTCCTATGTGAAGTTTGCCCAGTCAGGGATGGTTATGGGTGCTATGGCATCTGCTAGTGTTGCTTCAGTATGTTTTCTGAAGCCAACAGCCAATGCTGCCATCTACCAGGAAATTCTAGAGCAGCTCATGCTTCCCTCTGCTGACACACTGTAAGGATCAGATTTTATTTTTCAGCATGACTTGGCACCTTCCCCAAACGCCAAAGGTTCCAAAAGCTGGTTCAATTATCTTAATGCTCCTGTTCTCGATTAGCAATATTGAATTCTGTTATAGAGTAAAATGGAAAAAAAAAAATCAATGAAAATTTGTCTTTAAATTAGAAAATTTTAATAAGACTGTAGTCTACAGTGTATACCTTTAACTACAGTAAAAAAAAACAACATATTGTACTTTGGTTGAGGTCTTTCGCATAAACCAAAAGAAGTGCCAGCAAAACATAAATAAATAAAAAGAATTAATTACTCAACCACTAAATTACACATAGGCAGTGTCGACAGGCTAATTACCTCTATGCCAGGGTGCATTAATTCATGCAAGAGGAGACTCAACCAAGAACTGGGTGCATGGGACTGGATACAGGTTTCAAAAGTTTGACATTTGTGCTTAAAACATCCTTTTTATGATTGTTTTAATGCAAAATCCTATTTTCACCAAAACTGATTATTATTTCTTTTTTTTTACCTGTCATTAAAACTGCAAGAAATAGAAGCTTGACATGTTCTATGTAAAATTGATCTGTAAAAAAATTAAAATAACCATTTCACTTTCTGAAAAAATAAAGCACTTTTACATTTGTACCTGTACGACCCTCTTAAACAAGAAACCGGCCCATGCCTAGAAAAAGGAACAAAAAAATAAATCTGATTTTAGTTAAAACAAAAATACATATCCTATCATTAAAAACCATTTCGTATTTTATACAAGAACGATGAAGCCTGTGCCACTTTTTATAAAGCTGTGAAGATTTTTTTTGTCTTTGAATGAAGAATTTAAAGTCTATGCAATCCATTAAAAATGTACTAATCTGTGCTCAGATGTTCACATACACATTTGATTTGCTACAACCACAACTTATTCCTGATATTTATAATATTATAGAACATGGATTTAATCTCCAAAAAACTTGTTTGAATGTCTCCATTTTAATTACTTATTCAAACCAGATATTTCTCAGTAAACTGTAATCTATATACATCAGTAAGCAGAGCCAATCATTATTTTCAAAGACAAATCTAAATATTCTTTTATCTTTTATATTTCTTTTGAATAAATCTAAAGATTTCTTACAAACCACTCCTAAAGTGCATCCACCTAAACCTCTAAATATGCTCACTTGGTCAAGTAAAAAACAAACAAACAAAACAACTGATTTCGCCCCTCTATTTGGGAACAGACTTCACAGAACCTAAAGCAAGTACACAGGTTAAGGCGTTAATGTGCATGGTGGTATGCTACACTGTATGCTCAATAGTGGTGTTCCCCTTAAAAACAGCCTGCACGCAAACTGATGGAACAACAGGTAAAACTACGCTTAATCTATGTAAACAGTTCCAAAAATCATTAAGCAATCAATCCTTGGAGAAATGTTGTAATTCTCTCAAGATGTTGACTTAAATTTAGTAGAATCTGCATCAATTACAAATAATATACAATGGTGTATGTACTATGAGTACAAAGTCCCTGCACTTCTACAAATTTTGTAATCTGCACGTGATGAACACTTTTTTTATTCCAGGCACTCACTTTGATTGCATTAAGCACAACATAATATTTTAAGGAGTTGCACAAATTGCAGCAGCCAAAATGAGATGTTCTGTACAATTGTTCATCCCTTTTGTACAGTACCACCTGATATCAATAAGAACATAAATATCATTTGAGATCAACATTATGGCTTAATGTGTATGAAGTAATCAAGACAATAAAAGGGCCTAACAAACAGTGAGGAACAAAGATTACAGAAGTGGCTTGGAATTTGTTTGAACAAGACATTTTGACTTTTGTTCTTCAAATGCAAAAGGACACATAACGGTAAACTAATACAGAATGTACCTTTTTTAAACAGAAGTTTTTCTAACAGTCTTTCTGTTTAAAAGTAACACAAAGTGTTGGAAGTAATACATCGTTTGAGTGCAGCGTTAAAATAGTCAACCCATTAACTACCCACTGGGCTGACATCTGCAGCTGAATCACGTGGCTGTAAACAAGAATCAACTGCAACACCAGAGATTCTGATCTTTTGGACTTGCCTCCTGTCCTAATGGCATTTGCCCTTTAAGATGTCATTGCAAAAGTTCAGTCTTTTTTGTAGGTGTGGTCGACTCCCCCTCTCCAGAGTCTGACACGTTGATGGGGCTGTCTCTCGAGAATACTTCTGTCGACTCCCTCCAAGTGCAGTCGGCAACAGTCTTGAAGGAATGGTTCCCACATTTGGGGCGCACCTTCTGTGCAGCATTGTTTACAATCTGTCGACTGTTGGAGGTGGCTATCTTTATCTTAAGGGCGGCATCTACACGGTCCACCACTGTGTATGTGCCAATGCTGCCATCTTCAAAGCCGATGATGATGTTAAGTGCACGCTGAGATAGAGATAGGTGGGTGGGGGTCTTATAAAGTGAACATGTGCCGATACTCTTGCCATCAGCAAGACGCATCACGATCAAATTAGACACAACGCCAGCCTCATCATCCTCATCACAGTTGCGGAAACAAACATACACAAGGTAACGGCCATCTCTTGATAATTTTTGACGCCAGATTATACCAGCTGCATGAACAAGCCTCAGCTTTCCACTGTGCAGATCCAGGACATTAATGTTCTCATCGCCCTTGGAGACTATACCTAACTTTCCATTGGGCGAGATTTGAAAGTCTTCAAGGTTTTTGAGAAAGTTGGCTGGCAACTGGACTCTTCTGCAGACTGACTCATCTGCCACACTCCAGATGAAAACTGTTTCTGTGGATGTTATGAAGACCACACAATCTGGACAGTCAGGAATGAGCTTAAAGTTGACAATAGTAATGCCATCATCACAGACAAATTTCTTTGATACACTGCCTGACCACAGACTCACAGCAAGCAATTTATTTTTGGACGTTCCCACCAAGAAAGTGTTTGCTGTAGTGATAAGTGCATTTTGGAGGCTGACTAAAATGTTGCAAACTTTGTGCCCTGTAGCTAGTCTCCAGACTCTTGAGGCATTCTGTTCACAGAGAGAAACCACAAACTGGTCATTGTGGGTGATCAGCAGCTGTGAGATTCTTTGTCCATTTATGCGAAAGATGTTTTCTCCCGTGCTTGTTTGCCAAATGTATTGACTGGATTTGTCGTCTGAAGTCACCATGAGATCCCCTGAGGAGGTTAGGACACAGTTCTCCACCATACCTTCATGTTTGAAGACCGTCTCGATAAAGCCAGTGCTGAAGTTCCACTTGTGTACAGCCTCTGAGCCATCCATGGTGAACACATAGTCTTCTCTGCCAGTCAGCTGCAACGTCTGGATCTTCTTGCCTGTTTTATCAATGTTAGACATGGCAGTGATAATATCAATGTCCCAAACAGACAGTACACCACTGCTTGCAACAGAGAGAAGTAGGTTGTGGTGGGCTGATTTGATGAGTTTAACAATAGCCCCTGAGATTTCAATCAGACTGGCCATGCACTGCCCACTGTCTCTTCTCCAGACAAAAATTGAGGAAGTATTTTCCATTGAAGCAACAATGCTCTGTCCGTTTTTGGAGAGAACAGCAGCAACAAAGCGCTCACTACGCTTGGCTTTGAATTTCTCCAGCATTTTCCAGATTTTTGTGTCCAGAACCTCAATACTCCTGGCTTTGCAAATGAGAATGGAACGCTGATCTTCAGATAATTCAATACCCACAACTTCACTTTCATCCCCTCTGCAATCATAATCCTCCATCAGTTTTGGATTGGTTATCTCTTTTGTGTTCCACACTGACAGACTCCCCTCGTTGTCAATCATGACCATTTGATTTAGTGTGTCCAGTACAAGAATTGACTTGACAAATCCTCCAGAAAACTCTGATGTCACGGTGGACAACTTTTCCCCATTTCCTAGATGAAAGATGGATGTAGTATTCAGATACTGGCCACAGAAGGCGTACATGCCATCTGGTGAGCACTGGACACAGGTTACCTCATACCAGCAATGGAACTGGTAGAGAGGCCAGCCATACACAAGGTCAATGACACTGATGTCTTTACTAGCCTCAAGCCACGCCAGTGCATGATGGGTAGAAAGAGTAAAACCATTGATGAAAGCAACACCTCCAGTTATGCCACTGTTCTTTGATCCTTTAATTTCAACTTCAGATAAAAGGCAGGACTTGTGATTATCATAGATTAGCAGAGTGTTTTTGGTTGTGGCAACCACCAGGTATTTCTCATCACTGGTCAGTCTGATTCCAAGCACAACGGATCTAGCAGTGTCAATCTGTCTTAGAAGCTGCCTGCTCTCTACATCCCAGGTGCTTATAGATCCATCTTCCAGTGCTACAAGAACTATGTTTGGGGCTAGAGTAGGTAAAATCTCTACAATCTGTATGTAGCTGGAGCAAAGGGGAAGTCTCTCTGGACTATAGGTGACATCCATTGAAGAGTGGAGAGGCACAATAGAACAATACTTGGGACCATCCTTGTCACACTCCAGGAGAAGGTGTCTGAGCTTAGGCAGGGATGTGACAACTGGCAGAAGCCTTTGCTGAAGTTCTGCAGACAGCGATGCAGGGTTCTTGAGTACTTTTACCTTAATGCCACGGAGGGTAGTGGCGAGAAATTTTAACTCCTTTTCCTGGCTGCAGGTGTAAGCAAGGTCAATGTCTGTTATAGCTTTCTCAAACTGACCAATCTTGATCATTGTGTAGAGCCAGCTGAAGTTCATGATGACACCAAACATGAGGTCATCTGTACGTCCACTCCTGGTCAAATGGTACACAAGCTCTGTCATCTTTCTGTGATTGACAAAGAAGATGTCTGGTTCCAACAGGTTGCACTGGAACACCCAAGGCTGTTCAGGAGTCTGCCTGTCGTAGGAATATTTTTCAGAGGATGTCTTTTCATGAGACTGTTGATGATGAGGATTTTTGTGATGGGAAATATTCAGAGAAGTGAAATGATTATTATCATATGTAAAGATCTTCTTCCTGCCTCCTGACCATGCTCCGAGAAAGTACTCAGCCAGGAGGCTATGCATTTGATGTACATCCTCCTCATTGCTGAGATAGAGCTTCTGGGCGATGAGATGCAAGTGCCTGTTGGCCCAGACCATCAATGTGACATTTCTTACCTGCCGCTCAACTAGATAGCCCTCAAGCTCCTCTTTGAGCTTAGCAACAAGGTCATAAGAGATCCTTAGTGGATTTTTGAGGTGACTTGGTACAATAACATCTCCAAGAACTATGTTGTCAAGAGACAGAATGTCTTCCAATTCAACTTCTGTTAGCCCAGCTTTTGCCATGGTGATGTATCCTAATGCTCTGAAGACAAATCGCTGTCCCAACTTGTTCTCCACAGAGTAGAAGAGTTGCTCAATGCTTTCATGAACTGTTGAGCACAGAGATTTATCATCAACATCTTTGTGTGACCTCCAGTGAACCACTTCTCTGTAGATGAGGTTGACAAACATTGGCAACGTGCACTTTGCAAGTGCCTCATTGACATATATTTGTTGGCCTGATGTTACCTTCCTCTTCACACCAAGCAGCTGCTGTTTTAACATTTGGCTGCAGACCTTTCGGTCTCGCTGGATTAACTCCACATAATATCTCTCATCATGAATGAGATGACGCAGCTTCTGTAAGATACCATGCTTGTTGGGCAGCGTTGATACAACAATGCGGACAGTGCGAGGCAGATGCACGGGGAGCCACCACAGCTTTCGAGCCTCATCAGCATCTGAAAGCTGCTCCAAGGCATCCAGGACAATGACCAGTGGCCTGTGGAATGATGACTCCCCAAGGAGATTAATTAGAAGTTCCCTCATCTCCTGAATCTTGTTAGGCAAGAAGTGAATCAGGCAACGGTAGTTTATTGCAATCTGCTCACAAATGCTTTGAAGGAGATTCCGTAGGTCCATGGAGGGCTGTGTGGAGCCAATAAAGCGAACAATAACCACTGGATCCGTTTCTGGACCCATCTCCTTCTGAAGCCAAGTGTAGGCCTGAAAAAAAAGGAAGGATACAGTCAAAATGGTTTCATAAATGAAACACGATTAAAACAACATGTGGTAAGGATGGAAGATTTTTGGAAATTTGAAGGTCACTTTCAAACGTCTAAGAATAAAAAAGATTTAAAACAAAGTGCTGGAATAATATAGTTTTTTCCGAAGAAGCTCTTTAACACAGAAAAAAAAAATTCAGCTTAATTTTTTGCTTTGACCTTATTGTCTAATGTTCTACACTTTGTGGTATTGCAGTTTATGTTTCATTAAAACACATATTAAGACTAAGATGATTTCATAATTTAATTCATGAATTCATTAAATAACCCAGTTTAGGTTTTACAAAAGTATTTTAATGCTCTCTGACATATTTGGGGCAAACTCTGCTTTCCTCTTAAAGCTATGAGCCTGTTTGATGGAGAGAGAAAAACCAAAGAAAAACACATATTCAGTCTTGGAATAAATTGCTCTATAAATATATGTTGCAGAACAGTTCCTTCCTTATTATGTCAGACTTTTAAGGAATGGAAGGCCCTGTAAAATCTTTCTTTCAAAATTATTTTTCTTTCTGAATCAAGTGCAGTTACATGCACAAAGATTTTGAAAAACAATGAAAAAAAAATATGCAGCCACCTCAAAATGAATAGTTTATATAAATAAATGGGAACCAGACAATGCCCCTGTTCTTAGTGTCCCTTATGTTTAAGGAGGTTTTAGTTATTTTATTTTACTTATTATTTACTGCTCTAACTTTAGATATAGGAAAGTGTAGCTTTAACAATTACAGTTCAAGTGGAGCGGGTTCTGGTTAGCATAGCCGGTATTGAGTCAGACCTGATCCTGGTCAATGCTGGAGTACGGCAAGGCTGCCCTCTGTTGCTAGTCTTGTTCATAACCTTTATGGACATAATTTTTAGACACCCAGGGCTGGAGTGGATCTGGTTTAGGGGGGTCAGCTGATTTTGTCCCTCCTTTTTACAGATGAAATGATTCTGCTAGCTGCTTCCTGTTAAGACCCAAAGTATGTACACGGTGTTTCGCAAGTCCTCCAAGTTCTTGACCATTCTAGGGTCCTGTTCATGAGCAAGGGGACAATGGATCAGTAAGGGTGCCACTATAATAAGGACACTGCTTCCTCACCTATGGTCATGGAATTTGAATTATGCCTACACAAAGGCACTCCCTCAGAGATAGAGTGAGGAGCTTGGCCATCCGGGAGAAGCTTGGAGTAAAGCTACTTCTCCACATAGAGAGGAATCAGCTGAGGTGGCTCGGACACCTTTTTCAGCTTCCCCTAGATTCCTCCCCTACGGGTGTTTCAGCAACATGTCATAGGGAGGAGACCCACAGGATGCCCCAAGACACTTTGGAGTGTTTGTCTATCTCTCTCGGCTGGCCTGGGAGCACCATCTTGTCGTCTTCCGCCATTTAAGGTGAAAGACGACAAGAACCAGTACAAGTATGAGTAAAATTTTTGATAATGATGCAACACAGCATTGTGCTTTAGTATAGAAGCAATGTTAGATGTGTAGTCCTTTTTCCAATATGTTGAAAGAGTAGGTAATTATAAGGTCTATCTTATCAGTAAATATCAAATATCAGCCAAAACAATAATACTTATAGTGGATTTTCTCACTGCATCCCTACTTGAGACTGTCTCAAAGAGAAAAGCAAAGGGTTTGTGTTATTACGTGGTCGAAGCTACGAGTTAAACTTATGATATGCCAATGCTAATAATACGTCAAGAATTCCAATTCACAATTAGCTGGAATCTTCTGTCTGACTGGGTTACATGAGAAATATCGCAAAATACAGCACTTGCTACCTCCAAACCTATAGCAATGGACTGTGTAAATGTTTAAATAGGCACCTTTTTACAAGTTTAGAGAAAATTTCAAATAGCTATGATCAGACTGTTATCACAAAGGGCAACGATTGATCTTTGATATTATTCCTTGAACTTTCTTAAGAAACTTTTCAATGTCTTTCTGTGATAAAAACAAAACAGCCAATTATTAAATGCTCACTAATTAATATAATGGAAATTAAACTGATTTATTATCATCTTAGCAGAAGAGCTTGTTTAGGTTTTATCCAATATCTGAGTTCTATTCAATTTCTCATCCAGCAAATTAACACAAATCAGATAGACCAAACACTACAGGAAGTCAATTTTGGAATTTTTAGAAATACAGACACATTTTAAAAGTAATGTATTAAATAAAACAGCGCACACAGGCACACAGTTTTTGGTTGGTTGTGTTCAACGGAAGCTAGTTCTTGTTTGCCTTCATTTGATGCTGTGAGCTTTCAGTTTACTGTCTATGATAAATAAACTTTTTCCAAGGTAGAAAAAAAAAACATGTCACTCTTTTTACGACAGCACTCATTCTGAGACAGCAAAAACCTATTACAATTAGTATATCTGTCTGTAGAATAGTGATGTTGAGGGCAAAAATAAATGTACTGTTGCTTTAGTTGAAGTTCAGATAGGTACCAGTAAACGTTATTGCAACAACCACTGATAAACAGCAGTAACTACACAGCTCAGCCTGCTTAGAAGACTTTAGTTATGTTACACCACACTCTGCAGGCGTACACAAACAAAGCAAGTGTAAATCAAATGGGATCTGAGTGGAAGCCCAGAGAGCTTACTGTAGAGCACTTTCTTTATTAGGTACGTTGTGGACATTAATCAGTTAATATTGCCCTGTCAACATCGAGCTGTTATCAAAAATCAGGGCATGAAAAATATTTCTTTCCACTTAAACTGAAGCAATAAAGCTTCACATTCAAGATGAATGGTTTGATTGAATTGGACATGTACATTACTATGCAAAGGCATTCATGCTACTTTTAATTATTCTGTCACGCCATACCTACAAACCTGATGTGTCTTTTGCATATATTTATGTAAAAGACCAAAAGAAAGAGTATAATTAGAAGTAAAATTATCATTTTTGTTAAGTTTTTACAGATAAAAACCTTAAACAAAATGTAACATGCATGTGGATTAACCATAAAAATTCAGTACAACTAAATCCCAAAGAAAAGCATCATTGCTGTGTTTCACAAGGGTTGATGTTTGGAGAGTTTCCTTTTCCATTAAGTTAGAATGTTACATATAGGACATATACTATAAGCTTTAATCCCATCTGACCACAGTAGCTTCCTCTAAAACTGCAAGCAAGATATCTTTTATATTTCGTCCATGCAGACTGCTTCTTTGATCATTGCTTTCCTTGCCATGCCGTTGTGGAGTAATTTCTATTATTGTAGAAGAGTTTGGACAGTTCTGTATTATATGGTCAAAGCCTGGGATATTGTTTTATAATCTCAACCAGGCTAGATGTCTCCACAACTTTCTATCTGACCCCTCTGCTGTGTTCCTAATCCATGATTCTGTTAGTTCACTAATGTTCTTCATAGCAAATGTATGACAGCCAAAATATTTATACTGAGATTAAAATGAGGGAAAGTGGACAATTGATAAATGTTTCAGTATTATTGAGTATGTACAGTATATATATTAAAGGCTAACAGAGTACTAAGAGCTGTACTAAGGTTAGAGTAGATTTCAACATAACTTTACTCAAGTAGCAGTAAAAAAGTATAGAGATTAAAAAGGGCTACTAAACTATTGAGTAACTGATCATAGTATTTGATGAATTGGTAAAACATAAGTCAATATATAAAAAAAAGATAAGTCTGAGTAAATGCAAGTATCTTAAAGAGATTTCAATTTTAATTCAATTCAGTTGATTTATATATCGCCAATTCATGACATATGTCATCTTCAGGCACTTTAAAGAGACAATAAAAATTTGTTTTAAATTTTATTTTTTTAAACAGAGCTTATAAAACCAGTATTTACAGTTATAAATTAAATAGTTATATAGCTATAGTTATAATGTAAAGCAGAGTAAAGTACTGTCAGTGACTAGTCTGACCTCCAATTGCCATCGTAGGCTTAGAGAAAGAAAACATCTAAGCCTGCGTAGAAACAAAAATACTAATCTAAACATAAACTTTGTTTGTCTGTGGTGCATTATTGTTTACAAAAAACGTGTTCTTCATTCATGAAGTTACTCTGGTTTGATGTTAATATTTTAGAACGAAAGTATAAAAAAGTAAAGAGGGATGTTGCAGTAAAAGTAGACCCTAAAGTATTTATTTTCTCCACAAAAGTCTAATAAATGTATTCATTAATATCAGTGGTAGAAATACAAGTACTACCGATTCGGATTCTGTTACTATTAAGAATTATAACTAAGTATTTATGAACCTGCTACCTAATTTTAGGCTTTCTAAACAGGCATTGCTGGGCCAGTTGACCTGGTTAGTATTACAGATATTAAATAAATCCATGTCAATCATTTCAGATGTAAGTTTGTAAATTAAAATGAAAACCTTGCTTCTTTTTTGTTTTTCTTACACTTTAATGTAATGCAAGACTTTCTGCTGATCTATTAGAGATGTTTGTCCAGTGGCTAAAAATACTTTAGAAAGGTGTGTTTACATATTAGATGTTCCTCGAAAGCTTAAAATTGTGCTATTCTTTTATGTATTACTCTCAAATAATGTGGTTATGGGTTTAATATATGATATATCGCTCTAAAAACAAAAATCCCTGGTGCTTAAAGCTAATGTGTACATGCTAGATACACTGGAGGAATAGATGTGAGGTTATTTGTAGCGTGATGCTAATTGGGCAGGGCAGGCAGATGTCGCACACAGAACTAAATAATGAGCAGATGAGAAAGTAATCGGGTGACAATAAAAGCATTCCTGCCAGTTTGGGCATGTGAATGGGAAAGAAAAAGCAGAGTCATACAAATGCGAATCAACTTCTGCATAATCGCTTCACTTTCCTGGAAATGAGCGACAAATGCATGCACGGGGATGGAGTGCACAGATGGTAAAAGGAGCAAGCATTTGCAAAAGATGAACAGTTGCACACCCCCTCATGCTCTGTTGCACAAGGATGGACACATGCTGACATCAGACAGACAGACAGGAGCAAGCGTGAACAAACTGAGATAACTGAGGAGGAAAAAGTGACAGGGAGGACATCCCTTTGTTTACGCCTCACCTGCTTGGCCACCTCAGAGAGCAGCAGTGTCTTTCCGGTGCAGGGTCCTCCGTATACCACCAGGGGGCTCATCCTGCTACCTTTAGACGGCATCAGGTACTCCTGCACATAATCCAACGTCTCCGACTTGTACTTATAGAGGGCTGCGGAGGTCTTACAGAGGGACAGGTGCTGCAGAATCTCATCGTACAGGGGGTCGGTCTCTGTGTCAAAGTTCTGCTGTACGGTGGCCTGGATGATGTCCACCATGTCCTCGTAGAACTGCTTGCAGAGACCTTCCACGTAGTGGCTCTCCACCTCCTGGGAGTAGCCCAGCTTCATGTCGCAGTGAGTAACCGAGGAGTAGACGCGGAGATTGGAGGCGGCCACAATGGTGGGGATGAACTCGTCACGGACTTTCAGCAGGCGCTCGTAGGCCTCCTGGTTCCGCATCACGCGGTCGGCACTCACCAGGGTGTCCATGTAGCGGGCCATGTCGGGGAGCTTGGCGAAACGGTCAAAGTTGGAGATCTTGCGTATGTAGCAGACGCATTTCCTGAGAAAGGCGGGTGTTTGTTTCCCGAGGGCAAAGTCTAATTCATCCTCCAAAGCTGAAAAAACAGAAATAGGAGTGTTTACTGGAAAACAAATTTTTTTAAAAATGGTTTTTATGTCTTGACAATGGTTAAAACAAATAGGATACTAGGGATCCGACATGGCTAATCCTTTTTTTTTTTACGTACTGACAGTCTTTTTGAGTTTTATAAGGTAAGTATGTTCCACTAAGTTTTCTTAGGTCTGATCAGTTACTTGTGTCAGTGCCTAGAATGAGGCGTAAACTCAGATGGGCTTCTCTGTAGCTGATCCCAAACGCCTTGTCTATGACTATTTTTAAATCTCTTTTAAAGTCTCATCTTTTCTCTGTGGCTTTTAATGTTCAAAACGATGTTGGTGTTGATTGATGTCATGTTTTCTTTTCTATTTTCTATATTGTCCTTACTCAGTTTTTTCATGTTGTTTTTTATTAATCTTACGGCATTTAATGGTGTTTTTATTTCTGCTTTTGTTTAGCACTTTGGTCCTGTTTGTTTTTATACTGCTATATAAATTAAGTAGGAATGGAAAATAATGCAATAATGTATACATGGGATTATCTTTCAAAAAACTTGTAGCACAACTTCTTATTTATGTCTATTTGTGTTTTTCCATTTGTGACCTTGGTCTCCAGAGCTTTAGCCCTGAATGCCCCAAATCTCCTGAAAGTAGATATTTTCCTGTCTGCACATGTCTCTTTAAAAGTTACATTAGAAATGTCTTTAGATCACAAATTCCTATTTAAAAACATTCAGATTTTTTCCTGTGTTCAATATATTGAACAGACAGAGAGAGACAGAAAAAAAGATTAATTGCACACAATAGCACCATCATTGTGAGACTATGCTTAGAGATAGGTAACAGCTTGAAAAAATCAGTTAAATGGGAAATTCATGCTTAACAGTAAAACTAATAACAGGACAAAAGAACACATTTTCCACTACAGTAAGTTTTTCTTTACTCCCCCAATGATTCACATGCTGAGTGGAGAAAATGATTAAATACTTAGTTTTTTTGTTTTTTGTTTTTTTTACTAAAGCAAATAAAAATCAAATCTAAAAAAGTAATTTAAGTAGATGAGGACAGAAGCACGCTTGTTTGGCCCTAAGAAAAAAAAATCTGTTTCTCTGAGAAAAAAAAGCAACTATTTTCTTCAGATGTAGGCAGAAATTAGGTTTAAGTTTTTGTGTTTTAAATATCACAAACATTTGTATTCTATTTATTTTTTGCAATCCAAAATGATATTTGCCCTTTTATTTTTGACTATGAACAAAATATTAAAAGTACATTTTATTGGTTTAAGTTACAGTGCAGTCAGACTGGTACAACATTTTTTTTTACATTATCTTAAAATAAATAAAAACATTGTCCTTTAAAAAAATCTAACTTTTTGGGAATGAGCTAAAGCCCCAGATGTTAAAGACCCTTAAAAAAACAATGGTTATGGGCCTTTGTAAAAGGAACAATTAGTACCTTCTTCTAACAAGACATCCTGAATTCAGTCTTAGAAGAGAAGAGACTCTTAATCTATGTACTGGTTACTGAACTTTGACCCTATGATGTTCGGTGTTAAGTTGGGTGGAGGTTTGACAAGACCATGACATTCAGATAGTGATTACATTTAGTAAACTGCAAATGTCACCCTAAAGCCAAAGTATCTAACACAGTAATTAACAGTAAATCTAAGGTGCTCCACCCAACTTACACAAAAGGAACACCTTTCACACACACAATGGGAATTTATAGTCCACCAAATGTTTTGTTGCCATGTTCAGAACTAGGTAACAAGACACAAGACAAGGAAAGCTGTCTGGGAAAGTGTCTAGCTGTCATGATTTTGGCGCTGATGACTGATCTGATTAATAATTTCATTTATCTGTATAGCTCTGCCCAGTTCTCATAACCACATTTCTGATCCACCTGTTGCAGCCTTTATTTAACTAGCGTTTAACCAATCATCAGTGTCAGATTATTCGAGCCCTTGGTGAGAGTTCTCTTGCATACCTGAGTGTTTCTGATTACCTGATCCTGACCCCTTCTGCCTTTGGACCCCTGAGCCTGCCTGTTCCCATTCTAATCTGTTTGCCTGACCTGTCCTCGGACTCCTGCTGGTTTCTGCCTGTGTCCCGAACCTGAAACTTATTCCTGACACAGTCCTGGATTTCCCTTTGGTACCTTTTCGGATCTCTGCTCTCTTGGGTCTGACTACGTCCTCTACACCGGATTTGGCTTTTCCCTCTGGATTATCCTGGCTTCCTTTGTCTGCTCAGTTCCGATATTCTGCCTGTCCCCCAACCTCTGAGACATCAGCATCTGGGACTCTCTGGGCAGCACTCTTTTTGGTAGCCCACCGGCTGGAACCATCCTCTATCTCAGGGCACGGACTCAACTTTAAGACCAGGTTAGGGACTCACACTGCTTAATTTTTGATGCTTGTACAAGTTTAGCTCTGATGCACGGTTGAAGCATCTTTGCTGCTCTAGCTGTGCGGTCGAAAAGTGGGTCTGAAGTGCATTGGGCGGAGCTACCCTATCCTTTCTTTGCTTGTAAAAATGGCAAATGAAATCGTTGCTTGGCTCATTTTAATGAATAATGCTACGTTCAGACCACAAGCACTGGAAGCATCAAAAAAGCTTCTGCGGCTTTTTTAATGCTTGTTCACATTGAGGCAAAGTGTGTCGAGTTGCGTCTGATGCTGTTGCTTCTCCTGTGTTCAGTGACAGAGAGTGGATTTGCTGTATTTGCTGTTATACGTGGGTAAAAAGTAGTTTTAATATGTTTTTAAGTGAGAAAGTCTACCTGAAAACTTAATCTGTGCAGTTAGTTTATCAAGATTACATCCTGCCTTCAAATATTATTTCGCTGTCAGAACCACTCAGACCCCCTCACACCGTGTGCTGTCACTGGAAATCCCATTCAACAGTAGCCTCTGGCGCGGTCGCCTCTTTGCGGTTTTCTGCTACTTTTAGAGGCGGCTGGAAGGAGATGGTTTATTGGTAGAGTTAAAACTTGTAAATGGGAACGTAAAGATACAGTGTAAGATTTTCGTGAATTTTTCTTAAAAGACCCGCCCTGTCCACTTAAAAAACAACCAAAAAAATGCACATGGAAAACCCTGTAACCGCTCCCTAAAGGGAACACCTATTAAACGACTGCGAGAGTGTGCACGAGGAGAAATGGGCTCGTGCACACTCTCGCAGTCGTTTAATTGCTGCTTTTTGTATCGCTCATACAAGTAACAACGGTAATTGAAAATGAGGACAAGGGGGTCTTACTGAAGCATATCACCAGAATGATTGACTGATAGGAGGACCGCCTATTTTGATGATCCACCCAGAAAAACATCTTCCACTATACCTTTAACCAAAACAGTTGGGATATATCTATTGTATTCCCTGTTTGCTGCCTTATTTTTCTTTTTGACTCCTCTCCGTGTCTGTCTTTTATTTCGTTGCACCAAGCAACTACAAACTATTTTTGTAAGCTTTTAACCCCTTAAAAACTAAAAAAAAAAAAAAAAAAAAAAGAAACTCTCTTAAAGTGACAGTAACATTGAACGGATCATAACCCCCTGCACCAAAGTGGAAAAGAGCACACTGCATTCAGGTTCAGGTTCCCAAACTTTGTAGCTTATGATCCCCAAAATAGTACCAGAGTCGACGGATGACCCAGATATTTGTTTGGGTAAACACACGCTTCTACAAAATTATTTAGTGGCAGGAGTACTGATATTACAAACAGCATAAAGAAAACAAGAATTTGGACCATGTTTTAGAGATACTTTTAGGTTCTTTTAGCACTTTAACATAAATATTTATCATTAAGTTTAATTTCTGTACTGGATCTCAGGACCACATGATGGTTGATCAATGACATCAAGTGAGGCCACCACCCCAAGTTTAGGGAACCAATGCCCAATGGTTATCCTTTTCTACCAGTGCAAACTAGTTCTTGCTTTTAAAAACAATTGAGCCTGATTATTATAATACCTACCCTGCAAAAGCATATAATATTTTCTTTACAAATTATACTGTAGAAAACATGGAGTCACTTTGGAGAGGATATTGAGAGGATATCCCCTCTTTTCTTTGCCAATTTCCAGAGTAAAACCCTGTGATAAAAGAACAAAAGTACTACCAAAACTAAAATAATATAACATTATTGCCACTTAATGAGAGTACATAAGCGTCTACCTCAAACTGCACTTTTAGGGATTCTTTTCCCAACGGGTTTTATTAGTTTGTAAATTCAAAAACAATAGAATGTTTTATCATTCATCAGATTTTATATTCTGATCACTATTTATCAAGGGACAGCAAAATGTAAAGAGTGGTTTAATACTATCAAAAGAAATAGAAACTGTTTCTTATCAAGCCACTAATTCCTTAGCTTGATGAGAACAATTTGAATAAATATCAAGTATCACCAAATGCCCATATTCATCTGAAAACAAAAAGGACACAGAAGGCCTGAACCTTACCAGAGCAAAGGAATTTGTTGGCATCCGTGCTCTTCATGGTTCCCTTCTCTTGGAGCAGCAGCACAGCCGTTCGGAAAATCCTCTTGATCTCCTCTGACACATTCCTCCAGGCCTTGTCATTCTTGGTCTTTGCTGCGCTGCTCGATTCCATCTAAAAAGGGGATGAGGCCCAGAGAGAGAGGAAAGGCTGGCTGTAAGTAGCGTCATGTACTGAAGGAAAGCTGTCATTCTTTTATGAGTGAACAGTGAGCAGATCTGTACCCTAAGAAAGCAAAACTTCTATATGTTACTGAGAGATTTTAGGATCTGAGGCTCTAATTCTAATTTTAGGACTTTGAAGACACCTTTAGCTTTAAACGCCAACCAATTATTTTATTTTACCCTTGAAAACATAGCATCACACTTAAAGGACCGGCTTTGTTTTTTCAAATTGAACTGTGCTGACAGAAATAAAACTTGCATTAAATGGAGTTTCATGGGGCCAGTTGCCAGCTGGGAAAACATTAAAGCAGAGAACATGAAAAGGGTTTAAGAGCCGAGTGAAGAAAAACAACCGCAAACGTGATGCAAACCCTCTTTTCTGCAGCAGCAGATAAAATGTGTTTATCAGGCAGAGATGGAGTGTTTCACTACATGGATGTTAGGACACAAATAACAGCAATGATATGCAGAGAAATTCTTTATTACAGGTTACAGATTCTGTTTATACATCTAAGATTACAGCTTGAAACTTCTTCCCAGAAAAAGCCTGGATAAATGATGCCTTGCATGATATTCATCTTACTTTGAACTTTTTTCTTTTTCAATGTTGTCACTTTAGAAGCATAAACTAGTGATATGATTTTCAGAGTGGAAATAAAAATACACAAAGCATGGTGGAAGGTTGTATTTTGCAACATTTGTTATCACTGTATGATTTTTATCAGGTCAGTGGAAGAAAAAAAAAGCCATATTGGCTTCAAAAGTCTTCCTAAAAAATTGTCAGAAAGACTGTATCTAGTTGTAATTAAAAAGAAAGGTAAAAAAAAAAGAAGCATTGTATGAGTTTGGACTCACAGAGTTCTGGTAGTTCTTGAGCATTTGGGCTTTGGGTTTGAGGTAGTATGCGGGTGGCACCGAGTTTTCATCCCTGCAGTACCACTCCTCCAAAATGTGGGTGTCCAGCCCCGCCTCCACAGCCGCATCCAGGATCATCTCAAACTCTGCTGATTCCACCTCCCCTGGCACTCGGATGCTGCCGTACTTTTCTCCTACCAGACCCTGAGGAAAGAAAGGGGGCAGAGGAAGACACCAAATAGATTCGGGGACGTGAGTACAGGAATCCGTGTAACTCATGGTAATATGTTATTGAGCAAGGGTTATGGCCAAAGGTGCACCACACGTGACATTTTTCTAACATTACTGTGAAGCAGCTGAATCCTTGGTATGTTACTAGAAACCCAGATTCTGTGTGTAAATATTTCAAGTAGTTATTACACCACAGCCTTTACATCTTTGCCAATGTCTAAAATTAGGCTAAAAAGATTCCTAAATCTGGTATATTCTATATGTTATTCTTTTACCCATCTGTCCTTTAATTGGCAGTATTTTTGGAGCGGCCCAGCCAGTTTTCTGACTTCAATCTAATAGGGAATCTGTTGGGAAGCTTAGGGGGATGGCAGAGAGGCCTTCCAACCTCAAAGATTCGGAGCTCCTCAACAAGGGCTTTTCTTAATACTATTTTCAAATTTATCTGGAGAGGAGTGAAAGTATTTAGTGGAGAAAATTAAAGAGTTGGAAGATTGGTTGAAGGAGGGATGCTCCTACAGGGGAGTCTGGGCAAAAAAATGTTTCTGTTCTGATAAGAGGGAATTTTATTAGTGATAATAAACCCTATAAGGAAAAGCATGTCAACTTGATATTAACAAGATTTCTATCTTTAGGGGTTATCTGATGGAGCTCTGAAGGTGCGTTCTCACAGAATGTGAAATCTCCAAAAAATTTGCCAGTTTTGTCTGTTTTTGCTCGGCTTAAAACCCGCCTGGACAGCGAAACCATTTCACACGTCAGGCGAATTCACCAGACGGGCAAAGGCTCCTTCATCATGGAGTCTGCTGGTTTTTGGTTTCACCTCATCATGGTGGACATGGAATTAGAAAGTGACTGTCAGTGTTTTCTACTTTAGAAACCAGGAGCAGCGGGAAAACAGTGCCAGAGCGCATACAGGGGAAAAAAGAGAAAAAAGCCACCCTCTAATGAACCAAAGCGAAATATTGGTGGTGCCCTCCGGTAAATCATTGCACTAAAGCGGGGAGAGAAGGCAGAGCGGAGAAGCCCACTGAGGAAACAGTGCCAGTGGGGAAAGGCTAAAGCTGGCTGGGGCTAGCTATAGAAACTAACTGTGGAGGAACAGAGCAGCACAGCAGCAGATCTGATAGGTCTACTGGGAAGAGAGAACACTGAAGGTAGAGACTACGGCCGCCTGGGTTTAGGACAGTGGTAAATCATTGAGCAAACCAGTGCTAGGAGAAGATACGGCTCGCTGGAACTAGCCTAACTGTGGGAGATGAAAGGTAGGGTGACCAGACGCCCTATTTTTCCCGGACATGTCCCATTTTTCATACCTAAAAAAATGTCAGGGTGGAATTTCAAAATCGTCCAGGATTTGGTCGACTGCGGTGCAGCAGAACTGAGCCGTGAGCTCCGGGGCTGGTGCTGGAACTCCGGCGAATGGAGGGAAGGGAGCCAGCCTAGGACGGAGCGACCGAACCCGACCCAGTGACGGTAGCTGCGGCCCTGTACTTCCACCCACCTGCCCGGGAAGGCAGACGGCTGGAAGCATACCTTGACCGGGTACGGCCCCTCGGTCCTAGGCTGGCTCCGGACCCAGACCAGCTGATGGCTCGGTTCGAATGCCCGGTCTGGTCAAGTCAACCCCCCACCCAAAAAAAAAAAAAAGGAGTACCAGGGAGGATCAGCAAAGCTTGTCTGGGCAGACAGCGGTAGGGTGAAGGAGATAATGCATTTATCTGTTCTGGAGGAACGATGAAGGTCCTTCAAGGGCTAAATTAAAGCGGCTTTTTTAAAAGAGCATTTCCACTTCATCCTGTGTCAACATTATTTTCTCTATCTTCCATATCTAATTAAATAAAGCTTGTCTCTGCTGTGCTCCTTCACGCTAGCTCACAGCCACATCTACAGTAGTCCCTGAGTGGATTTCGTAACGTGAATGTAAACAGAATTTGAGATTCTTCAACTTCTTGCGAGGCAGCAATCAAATTCCATTACCTTCACCACAATCGCGCCCTTCGCCTCCCTAAATGCGCCACCTTCGCCTCGCTTTAGATCTGCCCTCTAAGCTGTGAAATTTGCGTTCAGTATTAACGTACCCAAATACAAATGTATCTACTTGTCTATTTCATAGCTGTATTCTATACCCATTAGATTCAGTAAAATAAAAATATTTTGATACTTTAAGATGTTTATCGGCCTTCCCCAGACAGTTTTCAAAACTTCTTTATGGTTTATGTTCCAACAAAAACAAAATCTGTTTATTGGTGTTTAATTAAAATAAAGAACTTCCAGGGCTACACAGCCATACAGTAGAAGGACGTACAGGGATACTTTATTCTTTAAGGACCTGATACATGGCTGCCAACTTTTCACCAAACCTTGGAGTGAGATTTTGAAATAATTTGGATGGGCCATCCTTGTCAGGGTTAGATTGAAAGGCTATGAGGACAGGTGCAGCTATCGGTTGTCGGTTTTCAGAGGACTTCACTGAAACAAAGTGGCAAAAGGTGGAATTTTTGATAGAACAATAAATGTTACTGAATAACAATAAGTTATCTGTATGTGTAAAATTTAAAAAAATATATACATTATTTTTTATATGCTGGGGATTTTTAGAGAATGGAAGTAAAGAAGTATGGGCCCTAATAAAATAATTGCATCTTAAATATACTGTAAACTAAGAATTTCACAATTTAGTTTATTAATTATTCTATGCAGTTCAAGTAAAATAAACAATGGGGAACTAAAAGGCACTTACTGGATTACTGGCGCTGATACAGGAACCAGTACAATCAATTCCCGTGCAATCTACTCTGTGTAATAGTCTAAGATTAAGAATCTGAAGTTATTATCTTATGAGTTTTTCTTACAATTGACAAAAAAGCTAAGCAATTCAGACCTTTTAGGAGGCCGTAGATGGCTGCAACGAACGATTATTTTGTGAATAGACTAACCTGTCGATTATGTTTTCAATTAATCGATTAATAATTGGATAGCCAAAGGTTCCGTAAAAAATATTTTTTTTACAAATTTAAACCAGGTGAAGCCAAATCTTTTCCACTGCGGGAGTATAGGGCATAATGAAAGATGACTTTTTTATTTTAAATATAAAATTTTTACATATTTGATTTACAATTTTGGAATAATTGTTGCTCAAGATGGGTCACTGTCAGCTAAAGACATGTTTTAGAGTCTCTATATTCCAGTTAAGGATGAATGGTTTACTAAATTATCAGCATTATTTTTTATAGATAAATAAGTGGAATGGAGTTGAGTTTTAATGTCCGTCATTTTTTAGAGAGAAAAACTGCGGATATGGAGTGTGAGCGTGTGAGGACACTGAGATGTGTGAGTCTCACACCCAATGGGTGAGAGTTGACAGCCCTGCTGATAGAATTAAAATTCTTCCATCCTCAACACTACCTGGATTTTTCTTATTTTAAGCATGCCTGATTCAACCGATGATTGGTTGAATGAGGTATTACAAAGACTACACCAGTTTACCTAATGTACCTATTTACGAACAGCTATATTTAGAGGATGGATTCATTTTAGAATTGGATTAGTAAAGTGAAATTAGTTCTTTTTGTGCAATTTGCTTTATATCTACTCACGTATTGAACCTGAATTGTAACATAAACAAAAAACTACATTGATTAAAGCTACATTTAGCACTTAAAGAAAGCATACATTAACTTTTAAAATACTTTTACCCACTCTACAATATTTTTTTAACTTAAATATATTTGTTAAAATAGTAGCAGAATAACAGGCAACTCTCTTGCTGTGATTACCGCTCTGTTTATACTGCTTATTTCGCTGAATGCAGCAGATTCGTTCTGCTTCTGCAAATATTTTCAATGACACACTGTTACGTAAAAGACGCAGCCGCTGCCAAATTTTGTAATTCCCAGTAATCAGCGACATTAAGAAAATGAGCAGATTTTCTTTTTATATCCAACAGATGGGCCTGTTTGTAGGAGAAAGAGGAAAATAACACTTTAGAGGGATCTATGTGGATTTGTAGGTTAACTGTGAAATCAGGTTTCTATGGGTTTTAAAGCTATAAGTTTAGGTTATTAAAATAACATTTGCAGCCTTAATTGGTATGTGTAAACATAAAATACATCCTGCTGCTTATCTGTGCACATGAGAGACAGCGGATCAAATATGACTGGAAATAATCAGGACAAAATGCATCCCTATTATTTCATGTTGTTTGACACATCTTTGAGGGGGAAAAAAAAAAACTACTGTGACATGACCGGCTGATTTTCTTTTTCACTACATCTGCTTAACTCCCATGCACCTCAAGCCTCTCCTCTGGGAGGAGGCTAAGCACTTGTGAGAGATGAGCCAAATGACTGTGAGGTCCAATGAGCAGGAAATCAACGGCTTGCCCTCGGCAATGACGCCTCAAAGCCACTCCATGCTGGACTCCTTGTTCCCTTGGCATTCTCAGTGGGAACAGATGCAGAGAAGAAGCAGAAATCCATAATAGCATGCTGAATCGACTGTGGAATGGCCTACTCTTAAAGCCCACAAATGTTCGCTCTAGATTTATTAGCATTTGGGTAGTTTTTTCGTCCAGGAAGCATAAAGTGCCAATGGTTGATTTGGGTGACGAAGATGGTTTTGCCATTTTGGGAATCAGCTGACAGAAGCCAGAAAAACAAAGCCTAATCCTAATTCTTAAACAGAAGCACATTTGAAAGCAAAGACAAAGTCAGTGCTCATATAAAATAATAAAAAAAGAGGTTTGGATGTCCCTTTTCATATTGCTAGTACTACTAGGGCTGTGAATCTTTGGGATTCCCACGATTCGATTTAGAATCGATTCTTGGGGTCACAATTCGATTTTTTTCAGATTCTTTTAAATCCAAACGATTCGATTCAGAAACTATTAATTTATTTATTAATTTATTTTTCTTCGTCTTCCATACTTTAGCGGCAACAAACTCTGTAGCCTGCTAGGCTAACGCTTGCAT